GAATTCCGGTTCTAGCCACGCAAACGACGTTGGCTGCGGCAACACCGGAAGTATTTCACCGCTCGGATTTGCGGGATCTTCCGGAACAACTCCGAAGAGAGTTGCAAGTGCCGGAAACAGAACCATACACGGTGGTTCAAGTTGAAGGGAATAATAGCATTGGTATGATTTCAAAAACGTTAATAATGATCATGAGTCAGTAGTTTAGCGAATGAATGTGCTATCCTTTGATCTCTCACTGCTAAAATCACATTTATGGATGAAATCATAAAAGTTCGTCATTTATAATATACGAAAATAGTCTCGAAAATTTCCATATCAGTGGTCTGACAAGCAGTTTATGCAACAGTATTTTCTAATCCTTTCTGTTTTCAGTGTGTGGTATCTGCAACAGACAGTTTGGAACACTAAAAGGGTGGCGGATTCACGCCTCAATGACACACAAGCAGGATGGTAAGTATTTCGAAACGAAATTTTCAGTTAGTTTTGAAAACATAAGTATATTTAACTCATCTAAAAACTATCAGGTTCATTAATTATGCAAATTCTAGGTTTTTGCGCTCGATGCAGCCATTACCTCTTGCTGCCACTCCAATATACGGCCGCACAGCGAATAGCAGCGGTGGAGCTTCATGTCCTCGATTGGTGTCCGAGAGCATGTGTGGCCGTGATAAACGAAAGACGCGTAAAGCGCCGTAGACTCGATCTTGTGGGGAGAGGAAAGGATGCTCACCATCTCTTCATCCCATATCAGAAATTTCGAAATAAAAAAAGAAAATTCGTGTGGTTATAGAAATATAAAGCATTCACAGAATCGATCTAAGTTCGTCCAAGCGGGTTGGTGAACTCCAAAAAAAGAATAAATAAATGAAACAAAAAACAAAATTGAAATCAGAAAGGTTTTTGAAAAACTAAAAAATAAATAAAAAGGAAATAAAAATGGAAAAATCAAAAAAAAAAAATGGGAAAGAACAAATAAAAAAATTGGAAAAATGGAAAATTTTTCTTTTTTTTGTTGTTCGAAGTATTTTTAAATGCAAATAGAACTGAATTCAAAATTTGGTGAAGGAAAGTAGAGCAGTTAGTAGATTTTGCAAGTACTTTGTGCTTGCATATGCCATGCATCGTTTACAGTGTTATTATCCAAATCAAAAGCATGTTAAGGGAAGTTTTTTTTTTTTTTGGTCATAAAATTCGATCATAACTTATTTAAGATCAAATTACTTTGAATTCAGCTGCTTTTCTTGATTAGACTAGCCCTACTTTGGGCGAATAATTTTTACTGAATATTTATTGTTCTAATTTACTAATTTCTCAGATAATATTCCGAATAATTTAGTATTTTTAATTATTTTGTAATTATCATTAATAAGTTCTGATCGTTTATTTTTCGAATAATTATTGTTTATTGTTTAGCATTTGTGTTATTTTATCCATTATTTCCAAAGTATTTCTTTTAAATAGTCTTTATTGTTGTTTAAATGTTGCTGTGTTAAATGCTGTTTAAATGTTACCGTATTAAATCGATTAAATTTGCTATGTATATCGGGTTATTTAATTTATCATTGGTTCTCTTTTGTTTATTTAAATCATGTTTGTTACTACTATTCTATGCATCAGAGTTGCTATGATTTTGAGCATTAGATAGTTGAGTAACGAGAAATGTATTTTTTATTTAAGTAATTTTTAATGTTTTTTCTATACATTTAAAATTGCCTTCTGATTTAGATCTGATGAATTACCGTTGAAAAATGATAATATCATTGATTAATGTTATAATGTCTTAATTTTTAATTTTTTGAAATTCCGAATCGATGAATTACGATTTGATATCCAATCTTATGATCATCCTAATTGAATTGTGTTATAGTAAGGATAATCAGGGATAGATGTATGGTTATATCTATCTTCGATATAATTTATAAGCCAATACATGGAAAAATATGCAGCATTTGAAATTCTGAAAAAAGTATTTTTGACCTGAATTTTTTAAAGTTTTTGAATTCTAGGATAAATTTTTGAGCTCCTAAGCTTTTTTCCTAATTTTCGAAATATATTGCTTGATTAGTGAAATTTAAGAAATGCCAAAAATTTTGAAGACTCCTCGAATCTTTAATTTTTCGAATGCTCAATCTTTGAAGACTCTAAGTTTTTGAGTTGTTTTAAAAATCGAATTTTCCTTCTAAAGCCTTCGGCTCATTGAGATATCGCGGGACTTTTAAAACTTTTTGGTATTTCTAGTTTTTTTGTGACCAACTATGATTTTTTTTTTGTTAAAAGCATAATTGTTCTTATATATTCTAATTTAAAATTTTCGATTTTTCGATTTTCCTTTGATCGTTTTGAAGTTTGAAATCGTCCATCATTTTCTGAAATTAATTTAAGTTTATCTTAATACTTTGTTTTTTGACGTTTTTTTTTTTTTTTTTGTTATTATTTTCGACATTTTGAATATTTTTGCTT